AAATGGTCAAGCACCCTCGAGGCAGTCACACAGTGCTTACAGCTGTCTCTGGAAGTGAATGCACCAGAAAATAAATTAATTCATACGCAGCTGTCATCCGTACGCAAGGAAGTAAGCACAAGATGCCGAAAACCCTTAGCAGGATGCAGCGCACCCTTCATGCGACTCGCCGAATATCTCACGGCGCTTCGCGCTTGGTGATGTGAGAGCCTGGTCCGGTGAGAACCCGGCGTGCTCCGTCCCGGCTTTGTAGGGATGCGAGGTCAATGGTCTAACGACTACGGCATGCACGACTATGAGTACACCCCACCCCTCCCCCACCCCCCTCAACCTTCTGAGCCTTCCGCAAAAACAACAATCATGGAGCCGGCATTCGAGCGAGACGCATGGACCACCAAGAGCTGAACAGAGTCGCGACAAGTGTGGCACACAGACACGCCACCATCACAACCGGCACGGAAAANGGGGGGGGGGGGGGGGGGGGGGGGGGGGGGGGGGGGGGGGGGGGGGGGGGGGGGGGGGGGGGGGGGGGCGCGTGCTGAACGGGGGCACCGTGCATAAGTTCAACATCTACCTCGCGAACGGGGCTTCCACGTGTTGAACGGGGGCCTCGTGCATCATACCTCGCGAACGGGGGCCCCGTGTATTGAACATAGGGGTCCAGTGCATCATTTCTCACCTTTTTCGAGTGTTTGGGCAGTGCCTCGTGCCGCCCAAGGCGACTGCAAAGCGGGCAGACGAGGACTGGCGCCCCAGCCCCCCCCGCCGACCAGGGTCTCCGGGGGATAGGTTACCCCCACCCCCCCACTCGGCGGCCGTAGCCCCGGTTCCGTCGTCGACCTGCCGCGCCTTGGCTGCCTCGAAGGGTGGCAACGCTCCGCCCGGAGTAGGGGTCGGCGATGACGTCGACCTCTTGGCCGCCTCCAGCAAGGAGCTTGTACGGCGGACACCACCCCCCCGGCCGTCGCCGACACCGCCGCCGCGAGCGTACCCGGCGGTTGACACCGACACCCCCGAGATGGCGCAGTTTAGGTTAGGTAGGACGCCGCTACCGCCGCCGCCGCCGCCGCCGCCCGACACCGCCACGCTCATGTCAAACTCTCGCGCTTCAACGTACTGGCATGACCAGGCTAGGTTATCTCTGAGCGGGAGGTGGGAGCTGCCGGCATCGCCGCCGGAGGAGGCCGCGGACGCCGGAAGGCTGTGGCACCGGCGAGGCGGCAGCGGCTTGTCATCATCCCTCCGCACTTTCTCACCCCACCCACCACTAAACCCGACCTCTCCCCGAGGAGGCTCTGCGTCAGGGACCCCCCCGCCAAACCAGTCCGTGGTGGAGCAGCAGCGGAAGCGCCGCAGCCACCGGACGACGTCCCCGTACTCCATGTCCCCCGGACAAACGCCGGCCTGGTACGGGAACTCCACCCGCACGTCTCGAACAGACGCCGTGAAGGCCTTAGGGATCTTCACCTTTCCCCTGCTACCCCCGGCCGCGCCAACCCTGCCGCCACCGCCGCCGCCGCCGCCGCCGCTGCCGCTGGGCCTTGCTTCACCGCTCGTGTCGCCTGCAGCACTACCGCCACCGCCGCCGCCACGGCCGGCGTGTCCCGCCCGTTCTTCGGAGGGTCGCCACAGCAGGTCGATCACGGCCGGCGGCATGTCGCCGCACGAGAACACTCTGTTCGCGAAGCAGGCGGCGGCGCGGGAGGTCGCGCCGATGGCGGGGAGCCTGAGAGCGTCGCCGGGGAAACCTCGCGGTGGCCCCCTCCTCGCCGCCGCGTCTGCCACCACCGGCTCGTTTGCGTCAGGGGATGGCATGCCGGCGGGCCGGGGCGGCGACCAGTGCTGCAGCGGGTCGTAGCCGAGGCCTGACCTAAAGGCGGGGGCTGAGAGAAAACCTGCGGCCTTGAGGGACGAGACAATCTTCACGACGAGCAGGTAGGCGGGAAAAAAAGATCCGAAAAAAGGGGAAACAGGGTCACAGTACGGACCACCATGCGACAGCTTTTCGTGGGTTTCGGTGCACGACAGGTGAACAGACTGCTACGCCGTGCCACAAAACCACGCGGTACTCCATCAAGTACTGGTTTTTCATGAACTTCCTTGACACAACTCCCGCCCCCCCCTTGAAAATGCCGTTTGACCATGTGCGCTCTTGGAAAAAATCAGGGCCTGCACGATGCGGGCTCATGGTCTGCTGCCTCGACTCGTGCAAGTGATCATCACTCCTCTCAAGACAAAGCACGAGATTATTACCATGGCGCCAGATTGTCCCGCCAGGAAAAACAGCGCAGGACTCCACTCTGCCCACACGCCCTCCACTGCCAGACCATCCTCTCCTGCCGCCGCCGCCGCCGCCGCCACCGCAAGCGGCGGAACGGGTACCCCACTACGCCCGCTACTATCGCGGCGCCCCCCCGACAGGACGCTCTCGCCACCACCGCTCCGCGACCCACCCGTGACGAACGTGGCTTTGCGGATCGCTAGCCAGCGCAAGCGATGACTTTCTCGCCGTGGCGTTGCCACCTCCGCCGCCGCCTCCTCCGGCAACACGGCATCACGCCTCTTGGTCTTACCCGCCGTCGAGTCATACGGCTCCTGTCCCGAAGGTCCCGGCGGCGGCGGCGGCGGTACCATCGTCCCCGGTTCCTCCACCTCGAAGTGGCCCTCCAACGACTCCGCGGACACGGTCACCGACGCCCCGCCCCAGGTGCCGACTACTTCCCGACTACTTGGCGGAGCTGCGGCCAACGCTACTGCTGTCGAGCAAGCACGTATCCCGACGCGAGGGACAGCCAATCGAATGATCGTCGCCGCCGCCGCCGTCCCGACACCAGCTTCCCCGGCGTCCGAGCCGTCGCTGCCGGGGGGGGGATCTGCCGCCGCCGACGCGACCGAACGGGAGCCCCCGGGGGAACCAGAGGTTCGGATTCCGCCCCCGGATGGCGTCCCCGCAGCGGCGGCGGCAGCGGCTGGAGCGTGCGCCTTGGTACCGCTCTCCCCGTCGGCAGGGCGTTGTGCTCGCGAGTCGTCGTCCCCGCCGCCCCCGACTAGCACGACGGCGGCGTGGTCGACCTCGAAGTCGAGCACGTACGAGACCCGAACTTGCGGCGGCGGCGGCGGTCCAACGACGGATGCCGAGCACCGCTGTGCGATCGGCGGAGGGGGCGACGGCAGCCGAGAGGGTGGCGCCCGCCGCGAAATTTGGCGCGGCGAGGGGGAGGAGAACGCCTCCGTCGTCTTTCCGACGCCGCCGCGGCCGTCTTCGGGTGAGCGCGACCCGACGACCTCGGCAGCCGAACGCGATCGAGCGGCGCCTAGCCGGGCTCTCCCTCGTGACCGAGCTTGCGGGGTACGGTCGAAGATCCGGTGGGTCTCTTCCGATGTGAGCGGTTGTGGTGGTGGTCGCGTGAAAGCTGGCACCAGCTTCGCCGCCCAAAGCAACACAAGCAGCCCATCACGGGACAGGGTGAAGCGGCCGAAAGCAAGCCGGCCGGAGGCTACGATCTGACGTGGGTCGCCAGAGGGAGAGCGCGCAGAGACGGGTGGGCGAACGGAGGGGGTTAGGGAGGGGCGTTGAGGCGACGAAGGTACCGTATTTCACACAAGATGACACTCTCCGTGATCGCGGTTTTGGCGCAAGACGTGAATAGCCTTGAGAAGAAACATGATTTAAAATAGGACGTTCGCCGCATCACGACACGGCCGGTCACCTGGAAGTAATCGGAATACTGACACTCATCATGGGTTAACTTCTACCAAACTTCCCAGACAGAAAGCGACTTGAGTGACAAAACACACGGACGAAGGTAATAGCTGTATCACCTCCGCTGCCCTTGCGGCGCCCTGAATTCCCGCCTCCGCACTCAACGCAAGCTTCCCGAGGTGAATCGGCAGGCACTTCCGCTTCACCCCGACGGCCGCCGTGTCCAATCCGCCCTTCCATGAAGCCCCTGAGAACGCTCGCAACCGCTCAGCAGCATCGCTGTCCGGAGACGAAGACATCGACACCCCCCCTTGCGACTGAGAAGTTGAGGAAGAACGCGAGTGACCTCCACCCCCGACATCGTCGTCTTGGCCGCCGCCGTCGCTACCTCCGCCGCCGGTCAACAGTGCAACGCTCGACCATTTTACTGCCACGCTAATCTGCGCCCGCGCACATGAGACGGGGGAGGGGAGAGGGTTGGTACACAAGACGGGGACACGCGAAAGGGGGCGCGATAATGTAGGGCCGAGCGCGTAATAGTGGAAGGCAGCGGGTGGCCTTCCTGACAGGGCTTCTCGAGGAATGTTTTCGCGCGTCGAGCGGTAAAAAACGACGTGACCCTCGTCATCGGGTGGGGCAGGCGCCGCTACAACTAGTGGAGAATTTCTGACGCGCCCAACCGCGGATCGCGCGTCACGATCTACCAGCAACGCCGCAAAGCATCCCACACGACCCCGCCAACAAAAAAACACAACGTGTTTACCTTTGTGTGCGTGTTCGTCCCGTCTATTCTGGCGCCGGTTTACAAGCATTTCGGCGTATACACCTGTGCGCAATGACAAGCGCAGTGCACCTTGCGAGGTACACCAAAATAAACAACCACATAACCTAGAGGTTGTTGTCGTTCACCCCCCTACCCCTGACCAGGCTTGCCTTTCTCGTGCCCACAGTGCGATTGTCGTCGCCGACCACCCCCGCGTTGTCCACACCCACACGGAGCCCCTTCACCTCCGCGACGACGCTAGGAGCATCCGCCTTTCCCCGCTGCAGACGGCCCTTCCGTCGCTGCACGTGTGCATCATCGTCCCGGCCATGATCTCCGACTGTTAATCCCGCCGCCTCGTGCGGCCGTGACAACGACCCCGAGTCCCCCTCTTCGTCGCTCGCGCCGAGTTCCTGTCCGCCGAGCCCCCTTACCGCCTCGGGAACAAGGCCATCACGCCCGCCCTCCTCCCTGCCGTCTGCGGTGCCGACGCAACCTGCTTCCTCGTCCCCGACCACCTCTAAACGCAAACCCTCCAACGAAGCCTCCAACGACAACGTCGGCGACAGGAACGACCAAGGCGGCAAAATTTCTTTGTCCGCTGCGGTTCCGACGCTACCCCCGGCGGCATTTCTCTCCTCACCGGCGTCACCCCCGGCGTCACGGCCCGTCGCGGGGCGCCCGAACCCGTCTCCACCGGGAGGATCAGCAGCGCCGCAACTTTTCCGCTCGGGTGCAACAAAAATTCCTCTCCACGAGTCGAAAGCCCTGATGTCCCCCTCGCGGATAACGCCTCGCAGCGAGGTGGAGATGACGCGCACGGCTGACACCAGATGGCAGCTGAAGCCCGCGTCGAATTTTTCACGACAGCGAAGAAAATTCGCCGGAGGCGGAAAACGGACGCCGGGAAGACATTGTAGTTCATGGGTGCATGGTTTATTGTTTTTTTGTTTGTTTTTCTCCCATCATTGGACTCTGTCGTCTGCCCCTCTGGCCCCTATCCTCCACTTCTACTAGCTAGACGACCCAACCGGGGTCACATAGGAGGGGGGGGTTGGACCCCCTCCTGCGGTTCATGCCTGAGGTATTTTTATCGCGAGAAGGGTACAGCAATCCCTTCCCTCGCGACTTACGAAGTCGATTATGGTTTACTAACAAACGAGCTTTGCAGCGCGTCGCTTTCATCCTAGACCAGGATTTATTTAGTGAGAAAAAAACTCTCTCTGCCAAGACGTGGCCCTTAGCAGGCTGCGAGGCTACCCACTAGACCACCGGGGCGACCGGTAGTGTTAGAGGTCAGCTGATGACAAACACCCCGCGTCGGAACATTTCAAGGCACAAAACAAACACGTTGCCAATCGCCCGTTGTCAGGACTGAGTACATCGTAATTACACGTAATATAGAGTACAAGGCACAGCAGACTCGCAGCTTGCAGCAAGTTGCATTCCCGCCGTGCTCTGCGCATCGAAGCGCGGCCAAGCCGAGCCGTGTACACCACGCTGTATCCCAAACGCTGCACCCCCCAAAAAACCGCGATGTCGGTGTATGCATTCTCCGATGCTGACCTAGCGCCAGCGAGGCAACGCATGCTACAGCACGGTGGTACAAAACATCGTAGATAGGTTGCAAAAACACCGATTTTGGAAGCCAGATTCCTCCACAACGAAGAGGATGCTTAAATCGAACGTGTGTTTTCCGAAAAGCTCATTACGAGATGGTTCCAACGCCGCCATGTTTTGGCACCATTGTACTTCTTGTGCTGCAGAGAAACTGGTGTATTGAAGATCGGTCCCGGGGGTGGGTTACCGTAGGTAAGCCAGGACAGTTAACTCGGCACGCAGCAGCGGAGCTTCCTACTACATGCTGTCTCAACACCGAGCTCTTTCTCTACAGCTGTACAGTTAGCGCCCGCACATAAACAACTTGTCAGTAAAGGAATTAAAATCCGAGAACACTCAAAATTACAAGAAATTGAGCACAATTTGCGAGCCCGGTTCAAGAACCCCTACACTAACAGATACATAGCGGTCATTTGCAGCTCACGACAGGAAGAAAGAATGCCAAGGTGCATGCTTACCGATTCTGGTAAAAGTCAATCGACGGATACCCTGCGAATCGGATCCTCCATAGCAAGAACCCCAGACTCCGCCAAAACTAGAGGTTATTAAAAGTGAGGACGCTAAGTGTAATCCACGTACCCGATGCCGCGACGTTCTCCTCGTATTGGAGCATGGACCAGGTCGACCTCTAGGGTGACGTCACCGTCAACAGCTACACCGGTAGTGGTGCCGAGAGAAGTGGAGAGGATCGGATGCTCGGGATCCTGGCAAAAAACAAATATTGTTAACATTTTAGTTGGGAAAAAATCAGAGGGCAATCATGGGGAGAGCGGGAGAGACAGAGAGGAAGGACTACAGGGAGATGGAAAGGGGGGAGGGAGGGAGGGAGAGACGTTAAGATATGAGTAGTCAGGCGTGAGGCGTACATGAATGTCGTTCTTGCAGGCAGCCTGTGATACACCCCTGTGACCAAGGGTAGCCCAAAGGCCGGGGCAGCAGCAGCACGAGTAAGAGTGATTTTCGAGAGGAGGGATACAGAGTAGCTGCTTCCTGGACAATGATTATGTTGCACAGTGAGGCCCGAACCACTCCGAGAGGCGGAATTTTTCAGCCGGAGAGGGAGTCCCGACCGTCACATGGAAAACAGGCCGGGTTCTTTGTTTCCCAAGCTGCCAGCAAAGGGACACGACTACCTAACACCAACTATAAAATCGCCACTTACGAAACAAAACACATATGTGCACATTGCAAACAGAGAGTATCGAATCCACGCGCCTGCTCTATCCGGAGCGCAAGCCTGGTCCCCCCTCCGCCCCGCTCCAACGGCTTCGCAAACGCCTCCACACACGACACGAAGAGCTCCGTCGATACACCCCTCCCCCCGCCCCATGCCCCCCGCCCCGTGCGACAGTCGGCCACCCCCGCCGAATTTTCTGGGCAGTCCAGCACCACCCTGATCCCAAACACGGTAACACCACACTGGCTGAGAACCCAAGTCGCCAGCTTCTCCCACAAGAGCGACGCGAGCAGGATCTTGAGCTCCGAGGCAGCTGGGGATGAGGCCGAGGCGGGCGTGGGGCCAGTGGGTCGAACCTCGGCCTTTCTGACGGCGGCTGCTGCTTCGGGTGGGTGGGTGGAACACGAGGCAGTGCATCGGGGCGACACGGTGAAGTGAATAAAAGGCAGGAGCACCGACGCTGGCACGCAAGACGGTTGCGCCCGAGGTATCGACAAGAACGGGGACAAGCTCGACATGGCATCGCAGCGCACAAAACTCTTGCATGCCTTTCGCCGAGCAGCCATTTTTTCCTTTGTCTACGACCCTTCCCCGAAACCAACTCCCCGAAGCCCAGAACTTCACTGGCGAGGAGCAGTTGGAACGGGAGTCGTGCCCCTTGAGAAAAAAACATGTATTTGTTCGTGTCATGCACTATGGACCCACCTGCATCGCCGTCATGGTGCTCCTCAGGAAACGACGCCTCCACTCGCAAGTTCAGACTTGCCAAGACCACCCCAAGGCATGGCAATCGCCCCCGCGATCGCAGCCAATCCGAGAACAGGTCGACCTCTACCACACCCAGCTGGCAGGCGCTAAGCTTATAGCTAGCGCCGGCAATAGAGAAGCTGACCGGCCTTCGTCGCAGCCACACTGCACGCGTGTGTGTGACATGAGGAAATCGGGGAGTACGTGAAGGCTTTTTTCCTTCAAAAAGCCGGTGTGTCGTTACCGAACTGCTGCGGAGAGGTGATGCACTACGAAACATGAGCGGGCAGAGCGATTCGTCAGGGTGGGCCGCTTCTGGTTGTAGAAGCTGACGGGTCTTCGTCGCAGCCACGCTACACGTGTGTGTGATACGAGGGAATTGGGGAGTTCGATGTATGCGACGGCATTCTTCAAAAAGCCGAGTGTGTGTCATCACCCAACGGTGGAGGCGATTAAATCAACAAGTACGATTGGGGAGAGCTGCAAATCTAACGTTTCGTGAGGGCGGACCGCTGCTGCTATTAGGCGGCGTGTATCGTGTGAGCCGCAGCTCTCACCTTGGCAGGCGTTGTTGGCGACCCAGCTGGCCACTCGCGCGATCGCTTTGCCGACCCCCAGCACGAGGACGAAGCAAAGCAACGCCCATTTTAGGCTGCCTAGCACAAACACCAGCATCCCCATCTCTTCGGCTGTGGGCGCACTTTCTCCTGGGAATAAAGCGCGGTAACAGAACGTGTTTGTCTATGGTAGGCAACGCACTCCGAATTTAAAACTCCAAGCAAACCTCGCTTCGGCTCGTGGCAAGAACGAGACAGGTCGCCCGTAGTAAGAATCGAGCGCCACGGGAATCGTGGATGTAGCACCTGAAAGCTGCGGTCGACCTGCTGTTCTAAAGTACGAATACACCCACCAACACGAGCATTGTGTCCACTGACTGCGGCGTCAGCGTTGCTCGCCAACAGCAGTCCAGCGGGACATACCTTTCGAATATCGACGCGGGCGTACACAAGCTACTACATGTACCGACTTTCCTAGTGTAAGCAGTGACAGCAGCAGTGGTTCCGAGCTCGAATGCATCAGTTCGCACACCACGCGAGGAACGCTGTCATAGACGTCTCGTGCGCTTCGCTGTTCGGTTGTTACACATGAGCCCCTTATCTACACTACTCTTCTAAATATGTAGCTCGACCGCACTGAAAATTGATTACTCTAGTCTACCTATGCACACTCCGTGGAACATATCTGCGCCCAACCACTGCTCTGTTGGTCTTTCAGTATTTATTGCAACTGCAACAACCGGCAAGCCATTGGAAGAAACCAAAGATGTTAGTTTTGCCTTGCCGAAGTCACATCCCACACCACCGTGCTGCTGCCACGCACACTGACCTGCGGTATCCTGCAGTACGGGCTGACTTCTCTGAACTCTTGAAGCCAACGACATTCCAAGACAGCAGTAACACACGGCTGCCCTCCTTCCTCTTTCTGTAGGTCCAAACCTTACCGGGAAACAAAGGACATCGTAACCCACCTGTCGGAGTATATCTACCGCCACCCCCCACACAGAATCACCATCCGTCCTCTCCTGTGCGCTCAACGGTTTGGTGTGCACTGGGCACGCGGGTGATATAGGAGAGGGGGCGCCGTGAATGTTATCCAGCTCCCATTTTCATGTGGAGGGGGGCGTGAGAACCACGATCGCCTCCTGAGAATAGTTGCAAATCCATGGTCGTCAGAAGAAGACTGCACGCCCACGGGTGCAGTAGTTGCAGCAGCAGGCAGTAGACTACAAGTACTAGTTTCGGCAGGGCATTGAGATGTCAAACGGAGGTGGTGAGATACGATTTGAGCATGAAAGCAGTGGTATTGATGCAAGAATGGTGATAGGTGACGATGTCGGTGCGGAACGATTACATGTGGACCCTGTTGAGCTTGGATACCACAACACCTCGATGGGCCGTTTGATCCGGAATGTGCGGAGGCAGGAGCGCACCGACTTGATCAACAGGTTCCTCTCAATCAACATGGACGCGAAGGTGGGGACAGTCGTGGAGTTGCGTTCATTTTATTACGTGATGGTGAGGGTCGTTGTTACGCTGCGCGTTCTTCGAGAAACGGCACCAATGGGCGGTGTCATACAGGTGGCCCCTGCACTTGAGAACCTCTAGTTTCGGCCGAGGCTGGGGTTCTTATTTTGCTGATCATCCTCTTGCGGGCTACAAATGGCTGTGGTATAGGTTTTCGTGTGGGGTTCTTAACCGAGCTCACAAATGGTGCTCAAGTTCTTGGCTTCTGATTTTTTGCGAGTCTCAATTTCTTAACTCCTAAGTTCTTTATGTGCGGGCGCTATCTGTAGGGCACGTGATGAATGCACTGCCGGTGTCGTGTTCCCCGTTTCCAATAAATTTCCATGCAGGAAGGTTGGCACACGTTTGGCATCACCGAATGTTCAGCTTACGGACTTGACAGACTCACATCGGCCCAATCTCGGGCAGATATCATTCGAACCTCGTTGTTACGACTTTGGCACAAACTCTCTGAGGATCTTGTTGTCCGAGTGATGGTCACAGAAAAGGATGCGACCGAAGGTATTAGGTATCATTTCGTTCTTCGTTCTTGTCCTGTCTCCTTCACGCACCCCCTCTACGATAACTCCAACATGACTCCGGACTGGGCAAAACTTAATAAACCAACGACGGCTTGTGCTGGTAGATTGGAAGAAATAGGCGTTCCTTGCTGTTTTGGGGGCTAACTCCAGCTCTTTGGAACGCTGCCATGCGGTCATGATACGGTAGTGGTGTTCGGCATTGAGGACAAGATGAGTGAGGTTCCGACGTGTGCATATAATGTCTAACAACACAGAGGCGTCTACTGCTGTGAGTATACCCGTTTCTTTTTCAACTTCTTGTTGGCTAGGTCGACCATAGCAAGTGCATAATTCGGTGCCTTGTTCGGCATCGGTATGGTGCTGTAGGTGTGCTATGCCGTGTGCTTGGTTGAGTTTGGGTGGACTCCGGTTGGCGACTCAATATAACTGCTTCTCATTTGCTACATGTGCGCCGGAACCGTGCCATACGTACATCGGGTGAGCAGTGCAACCCCAAATACAAGTAAATGCGATGGAAATATAGAACGCGGCGACAATGTCGTTAACGCTTAAAAGCTGTCCCGGTCCCTCGTCGTGTAGTACGCACCCTCACGCCCGAAGTGGAGTGTTCCAGGAGGTGCTGCGATATCTCCAATCATCCCGGCGCGACAATCGAATGAACCCATGCTTGCTTTTATGCACCCATGTGCGATAACTCTGGGCTGCGCAAGCGCTTGCAAAAGCTTACGAAAGTCCTCTGTGTTTGGTGTATGTAGCATGATGCACGATATACTAACGGTTGTAAGCTACACACGCGGAAGGAGAGGAAGCATGAAAAATAACAACCAGTGTATCATGGGGCAGTCTTTTCGTACTTTCACTTACTTCCTACATGCGTTTGGCGTTTGCTCGTCCCTATAGAAGTATAAATCGAACTATTAGACGAGTCAGCCGCACATTAGTCTAATGGGTCAATTTCGGCTTGTATAAGAAGTCGCTGACTAGCCTACGCTGACTAACGGTTTGGTTTCGGCTTTAAAAAGATTCCCTAACTAGTCTACGCTGCCTAATGGTTTCATTTTGGCACGTGTATTCTGCCGGCCTCGTCCCAGTTTGTGTCGGGATTGGTCGAAGCCTACCGTCAGTCGGGGGCAGCCTACCCGGTATTCGCCAACCTGCGGAACGGCCTGTGGTATGGTAAGGAATGGGATGGGACGTGCTACTTTAAGTCCACGGACGGGCACAGCCGAAGGTAAGGCGCCGTACTTACGGTACACCGTATTCGTACAGGCTAGCAATCCAACGTTACATACACGAAGTACTACTGGGTAGAGGCGCTGAGTAGTGTGCTATGATGAGGCGCTAGTGCTGGACAACTCCGAGGTTGTAGCGAAAGCACTGGATTCGTCCGTCGGTCGATTCCCGCCTTGCCCCTTCTCTACCTCTCTATCGCCATGTCTAGATGGGCCTTCAGCTACACCCGCCTGAACATCCACCTGGCCGCCGCTGCTGCCGCGGCCGGAGGTTGCATCGTGGTGGACTCCACCCGAGCTGGCAAGCGCTTCCCAGACTCCTTCACCACGACGGTGCGCACCCACCACGACTTTGGTTTCGCGAATGTTTGCTTCATTTTGCGTTCAGCAACAGCACAGCATGTCCTACGGCGAAAGGGTGGCGCGTGGCCGCTTGCCAAGGTTTGCGTCTACACCGGTTGACCACCGCTCGACCTGGTGCCATTTCTCGTGCAGGGTTGGTCCTCGTTTTCGCATGCTTGCCCCGGCCACGAGCTGTGACAATCTGCGATATGGGTAAATGTTGCTGCTCGGTGTCCATATCGCATCTTACCCCGAGAAACTGAAGATATCGTAGGTTGCGCAACATTCAGCGCCACACCCCCTCCACCGATCCTCAACGCTCGAGTACTCTGTAGCCAAAGAAGGTAGGGCACCGAAACTGATCATCTATTTGATCTTTGCATCCTCGTCATCGCGGAGTAGTCGAGCAGTGATTTAATATCGAAGAGTATGTGTTTAGGATAGTGCATTTACCGTCGGGAAGCTCAGTCAGCCGAAACAGCAACAGCAAATTTTGACTGGGTGGGTAAAGTCGGGAGGGCATAAAATGGATTGAGGAGCAGAGGCGAGTGAAAAAGCACTGCGCCGGCTTGAACCGCGGGGTTCGTTTGACGCGTCCAAACCTCCCTCCGCGGGTCACAGGAGGTAATACTCAAGGAAACCGGAACGAAGAACCGACAGAGGACGAAAAGCCGTGTGGGTCACTTCCGCACCTGTTGCTTGTCTGGCAGGTGCCCATCTGGTGCTGCTTGCTCAACCGACTCGCGGCACCGACGAACGATGACTCCGGTACCCCATCTAGCGCCAGCATCGGTGGTGAACGGAGCAGTGAAAAATTTGAACAGGGATCGTGCCCGCGGAAGGAGAACGGCAATTTCTGGGACACCGCTCTGCATACGCCAAGGTGTGGACATGTCAAAGTTGTTCTTGATGTACCCTCTCCTCCCCCCAGTCAACCGAGATCGTGTTGTTCACAGTGACTGATGCGCCGAGGAACTCCGTGCACTTCAAGTGCTCGGGTGCGACTACCCGCTTCGTGCGTCTGCATTTTCACTACTACGGGCGGACATGTATTTTTTCCCGGGGCGATTTTTTCTTCTACTTGTTGCCGAATTTTGGACCTGCAACCCGTGGCAGTGAATAATATCTACAAATGCGACGCTCGCCGCGGCACACAATCACAAATCAGGTGGCTAAGCGCGTCGGAGGCCAGCCAGATCGAGGAGCGCATGCCCGGGTGGATACAAGGGCTGGGAAACGCGAAGGAAGCCCTGTCCGAAAGGTGATCATGCTGCGCGCTGGAGAGGAGGCGAAGGCTGCCGCCTCAACCACCTCCGCCTCGAGACGGGTGCGAGGGCCGACCTATCCCGGCACTGTCAGATCAGACCCCGCCAGACACCGGCGGCCCGCTTGCTTCGGTCGGTCCGCAAATATACCGTGTATGCGCTAGGGTTCCTCCACGGCGGAAGTGCGTCTAGCTGTGGGAGGAGGCCGCACCTACACCCGCCATCTCGTACGTGAGCCCCCGTCATGCTTTTCTGAAACAGGTTGAGGTCTTTCCTGAAGAAACCCCTGCGGGCCGTCTGGCTCAGCCCCGAGAGTCGTCTTGTGGAAAGAATGTTACCAGCGTGTTCGGCGGCGGACCTATCCTTCACGCCGGTCATCTGCGTGTCCGCTTCAAAGGTGAAAAAATACCCCATCGGGCCGGGCCGGCAACAAAGCCATCACAGTCCTCAACACCGTGAGAGTGCTCCAGCGAGGAACCGGACAAGAATTTTTTAGGAAAAGGCATGCCAGGGAACAACCCACCTTCTCTCCAATACCTGCATTAAGAGCCATGAGAACATGAGCACCATCCCAAGGGAACACACACAAGAGCCAACATAAGCGAGCCACGTAAACATGGGCGCCATCCCAAGAGAATAAGCATAAGAGCCAACGATACACGCTTCAACCAGAAGGAAGATCAGAGCCGGATTATGTCCGCCGTCGAGCCACGTCCGTCTAAATAGTGCTCCTTATGGCGGGGATAGGACGAAAGAACGAACTACACCGAGCACGTGTGTTAGTGAGTGTCACGTGCATCCTGTTCGAGGTTCATTATTTGCTCAGCGCATTCCCTGGCCTCCCGCCCTTGGTAGATAGTCTAGGACCTTACTTTCCTTCGTTCGAGTGAAAAGTCCTTGTCGCACTACACCAAGTTGCGCTACGTCCTCGCGGAACCCCTCGGTCCACGTATCTCGCAAAATCGCGTCGTTGACGCGGGTGGAAGGTTATTGCGCCCGAGCGCCATCGCGAGCACCACTCCTGGATATACCTTCAAGGCGCCGGAGATGACGAGGAGCACTGGAGCTCCGGTGAGGTACATTGTAAGGCACCCCCACTCTGTGACGCCGCCGACCACCCCCCCTGTGTTTGTGTGTTTGTTGTATACGCACCGATGTGTCGGTGGTGCTTGTGTGCATTCGCGATCCACGAATCTCACGATTGTTAGCCCCTTGGTCGGGTGATTGCTGATGAGAGGTGTACTTACTACTGAAAACGCTTGCCGTAGTCATTAGACCATTGACTTCGCATCCTTACAACGCCGAGGCGGATCGATATGCCTGGTTTTCGCCAGCTCAGGCTACGTTCCGCAAGGGTGAACCGGAATCTGGCCATCACGCTTGCGTTTGCTGTGCCAAATGAGGGAGGGGGGCAACCTTTGGTGTCTCCTGCTGGAGAGGTAGAATCGCGCCCGCAGTGGATTAAAGAGTTACCCGGACTACGCCGCGGCTTCGATTTTCTGCCACGTATCTACGACTTCCGTTATGCCACGTACTGCAGTGTTACACATGCTGTGACAGGTAACGCGCGTAGGCGTATTTCCTTCACTCTCCTCCCAACCCCATGCCGGTTCCCATGTGCAGGCTTGCCACCTCGTACCGTCTGCTTTGCCGGTGCAACTAGTTAATCCGCAATGGCCGCCATCGGTTTTTATTCGTCATCGTCCGTATCTTGGCCGTGGGGATGAAGGGATTACCCCCGAGCAGTTCTGGGCCAATTCCGAGCGTCTCATAGGCCTGGCCAAGCGCGGCGACAGGGGGGCCTTCGAAGGGGTAATCGCAGCGCTGATCACCAGGAACAAGAAGATGAACGCAAGCAGCCCTTGTGCGGGAGGCACCGAGTCGAGAAGCGGTAGTGGGGCTGCACGAAGCGAAGAAACACCGACAGGAGGAGGTCCGAGCAGCACCGAACGCCACGACGGAGGGGAGGAGCCATGGCAACCCGGGGGGCCGGAAGTGCACGCGGTTCTCGGTGCCACGGGTGAGAGGGAGGGCAACAAGGAAGGGTGGGGATCGTTCCGCAGTAGGTCGTCCTATGTAAGTACGGTGGGGGTCCCCAAATAAGGCGTTGGGGGTAGCTGATCATAACATGGAGCAGCCGTAGTCAATGTGTAGATTAACCTGATATTTCCGTCCATGTCAGCCATTTTCACCCGCCTTTTATAGGACGACCGCCTTGTTCAGACTGCCGCTACACGGGGACCTTCACTGTATGCCTGCAACCCCGCTGTGAGCTTGTATCCTCATTCTCTGGGGGTATCGCTCGCCATCTACTCTCACATGGAAATGGCCAGCCTTGCATCGCCCGAGTGCGCCAACGCTGCATCCTGGTACTCTAGGCGGTGTTCGGTTGAGTACTGTTGCTGCACCCGGAGGCGGCGCGGGTCTGTTTCCTCTCGTGACCACGTTTTTGAATGGTGAGTACCTCTCCCGGCGACGTGTGGCCCATTGTCTCGCAGGGCTAGTGGTGGGGAGCATTGCCTACGCTGCGAGAAACTGGGCTTCTCACGGAACGGACTGCTCCTTGCTAAACCTTAGGTATGCCTTTTGTCAGGAGGCAGGGCGGTGGGCGCTGCGCGCAAGCACAACAGCTCCTCGCCTGTGTTAACTTAGTGTGGCATCCTTCCTGCCAGCTCAACAACTCTCTCCTTGCTGCACAAACATCTTGGATACCGACTGTTGGCCACTGTTAGTCTTTTCTCGTATATTTCGTCTGTCTCGGCCTCTACGGTCGAGTTGGTCAGCGCAAGCCCACCCCCCCGCGCTTCACATTTCGTTTCCGTCGCCACTCCGTTTGCGCTGTCGCATCGCCCTTGCGCACTGCTGCAGCGACGAAGCCTTCCCCGAAGAGCTCGTGGACAGGCTGACTGGTCCAACCAGGCGGTACCTTCATATTCCGCTCAAAGGAGGTGTGTAGCACACTCGCATACGTAGCACACAGTCGCCTACACGTTTGTCCTTGTAGGAGCTCAGACCGCCGCGCGGCACCCTTGCGGGCGGGATGCGGGGGCAAGGGCACGAACGGTCGGCTATGTAGTTGCCCAGGAAGCCCTTGGCGTGTGATGGTAACGGTACCGGAAATCGTCTTGATCTACCGTCCTTTGCACTCGTTTCGCACCCCAGGGAAGAAGGCAAATCCGCCGAGGTATTGGCAGAAGACTGTCTTTCCTGCCGCCTTGGTGTTCATCGCGTCAGCTGTCGGGGACTTACGGCTGCCGCCGGCACGCAAGGGTATGGCCACGGATCAGTCGGCGGCCGTGATTCATGTACAACGCCACGGAGAAGCCGCGGAGCCTTTCGTCCACGAGGGGCCTCATGTTGGTGAGGAGGCGGCGGCGAGTCCCGACAGGAACTTGCCGAGTTGCTGCGGTGGGAAGGTCGGAGAAACGAGTGCCGTGGACACACCCGACCCTGCGCGATTGGAAGGGGCGGAAGGGATATCTTCGCCGGCGGAGGCGGACACAAGAGCGATTGCGACGTCTTCTGCTCAACCACGTTTGCGGCAACAGTGCCAAGCAAAGCGCGGTGGTGCCGGGGTGACGATGGGACCGGTCACCGCGGGTAAGTGCCTCGTAGTGTGTCCCACCGGAGCGGACGCTTCGGTAGTTGTCTGTCTCTGCGCTCTTGTGGCTTTCTTCCCTCCAGGCCCACAGGCCAACACTAACACGCCGTCTGGGAATCAAAATCAGCAGCCGCAGCAGCAGCAGCTGCTGTCACCATCGTCGCGACACGCCCTTGTCGCCGATGAGGCCGACGGCGGCAACTCCGGGCTGTGGTTAGGAGGCGGCGGGTTTTCGGTTCTTCCACGAACTGCTGCAGGCGTGGTGACCAAGTCCCAGTTGCGTTGGCGTTTTCTGCTGATGCAGCAAGAGTGTCCTTGGGCGCACCCCCCGCGGCGCTCGATGCAGGAGCTGAACGAGTACTTCATGACGCCAGGAGAACACTCTTGGTGGACGTTGAGCGATCGGTATCATCTCAGGGAGGCTGATTCGCTCGAGCCTTCAGATGCGGTACCCCCGATGCATAGATAGCACCCGCGGGGGCATACCCCGAGTAGGCCAGGCCGGCTTGATTTTTTGGCGCGTTGGAGGGACACGTGGAGTAGATGCCCTTGCTTTTTTCAGGGAGGTCTAGTGTGTTGTACTTCCTGTGCTACGCACTCGAAGCGCGCCGTGCTTTCGCCGACTAGCGCGGGCGATGTTGCTCGAAAAACACCTCAAGGAGAACCCCTCCTCCACGGACCCACATGCAGTTGTCATCCGCTTGTATCAACGTCGTTTCATTCATTAAGCCTGTTCCCGCGTTAGGGTTAGCTCATTCTTTGGTGACCGCGCTCAGCCAAGTAGAACCAACCTTCCTTGTCAACACCAAAGATTGTGGGTGTGAAGACAGGCAGCTCGGCAAAGGCGGGCCGAGATTGAAACATCGCGTACATTGTCGAAGTCTCCAGTAAGAGGATAAGTGTGGTAAGAGCACCACGCCATACCACGTTACCATCGCATTCATCCGTCAGTCCATCGAAACGATCTCCATCACACCTAGATAAGCCGAGGAAATCAACCATGAAGGAAGTAGAAGCGATCGTTCTACCGTTCTCCCGCAATCTACCGAATACGATCTCCGTAGATTCGAGCCCTGTACTCCTCCGTCACATTTTGCTATGTTAGCTAGCAGCCCCCCTTGCATACTCCACACGATATACATCGAAAACGAACACTCGAGCCATGAGGGTGGGGAGGGCACAACAGACCCTGGGCACTGCCTCACGACGTTGTAAGACGCCGACTATGCGTGTGTATATGGAGAAATAATTCTATGTAAAATGAGAACATTAAGTTCTATAGACTACGCCAAGACCCGACTAGCCCTGCAACCATCCGCTCGAAACAGAGGCACATGCCTCGCGCTTGTATTTCCTGCTATTTCCCTATTTTGTACAACGAGCCCAAACGTTGTTGGTACCATTCCGAATTCCAAGACGGTAGAATCAAAATTGTCGTCTTTGAGGAAGATATGATGATGGGCTGCGGCGGAGACAGAGGAGCTCAGATGATATACTCTGCGAGCCAAGAGCGGCAGTGCGTGCAACGGCAACACAACGAAGGGTGAGCGGCTTTCTCGAGAAAAATAGGTGCTTCGATGTAGGTAAAAAATCAAGCCAGGTGGACGTCGGAGTGGGTGGTGAGCCATAGCGTGCAGTGTGTCCTGATCGAAGCCGCTCTAAACACCAGCCGCTCAATGCAATCAATTCCAGGCCACTCTCAAAGTTGAGGTTTCAAGCCACCAATCCGTCAACACAGTTGAACGCTAGAGTTCCTCCGGAGAAGGCAAAATATATGGGCCGGCAAACCCAGCATTAAATTATGCCAGCAGAAAATCCCCCGAGGGAAATCAAGAGGCAAGGAGGACATTTTCTTGTTGACCGCTAAGATAAAACCCCGGGGATAAATTGACGTATTTACAGCTGTTTCGGCGATTGGGGGGGGGGGGGG